GGCTTGGTTCCTCCTCGCTGTGGAAGCCGAAAAATCCACACTCGCTGGAATATTTAAAGTAAGTTGACCTTCTTTGTTATTGCTGGGATTTGCGCCTGTAGCTTGCGAATTTTCGTATTTGGAATACTTATAACCATAGGCTGGTCCAGGATAGGCTCCTGGGGAAGGAAAGGGGGAGCGACAGGGGTGGGACGGAGCGGGTGGGGCGGGAGGGGGAGCGGAGCTCCAGAAGGAGGTGACAGGAGATGGGGTGGAGAGTCCCCTCCGACCCTGGAACAATGCAAAAACTAGGAATAGAGTTGTAACGCTGCTACTTAGAGTTACTTTAGGCTTTGTTTATTTTATTTTTAGCTTCAGATCCGGGCTTTTGCACCGCTGATGTCTATAGAGAAGGGGCAAAAAACCCTTGCTTCCTCCGGCCTCGCCTATGTTTGTGGCAGCTTTGAATTTCCATCTTTGCAGTTGGCAACTTTTCCAGTTATTTTGACCAGTGCTGCATTGCTTGCTGGTCAGCTTGCTGGCGATCCGGTCTTTTTTTTTTGTTTCTTGAAGGGATTACCAACTTTAACGATCTCCCAACAGAAGCATTTGAAAAGGCTTTAGTGCTTTCAAAATGTTCATGGTATTTGTTGTGCATTGCCGTCCCGTCCAAAACGTGCACAACGATGAGACGGCACAAAATTTGGTCAGACGATGACTTTCTCGAAGGTCGTTTTTTAATATTTTCCCATGTGCACAATGAAAAGCGTCTTTTTCAGGTATCTTCACAGCGTTTTGGTGAAGAACGAGCAGGTAACAGAAAATAACCGGAAATTGCTGGTGGAGTGCCTGAGGGCCATTGCTGAAATTCTGATCTGGGGCGACCAGAATGACAGCACTGTATTCGAGTAAGTTCGAGCCTTCGTTCTCATCCACCCCATCCGTCCTCGTTCGTTTTTGACGTCTGTGTTTTTGGCTTAAGGCACCTTCTCGTCTACGTCTTATTGCTTTGCATATGCGTGCTTTTCTTGCTGTCGCTTTTCTCGACATGCTGTAAACAGCTTAAGCTAGATTTGGCCGGAAAGTGTCAAGCAATTGATGAAAGTTTGCATGCCATCGTGTTTTTTCACAAGAATTTGTAATAGAGATATATCAGCTCTGACATACATGAAAATATAAAATAATGTTTAAAAAGATGGATGAACAGGAATGTCTTGGCTGAATAAACAGGAATTTCTGTAAACTAAACATTGATTTTAGCACTGATTAATTGTTAATTAAATCCGGAAACATTTTAGAAATTCAGAGTTAGCGTGGTCTGAAAGTAGTGGAAAACTGAGTACGGAGTACATGAGTAATGCACAAGCAGGAGTTATGTGGAGCGTGGATTTAAAATACCCCGCATATTTTAATATATTATCTGAAAACCGATTAAATGAAATTGCGTTAATATATTAGAGTGGAGTCCGGGGCTGGAGGGCATAGAAGGATTTGGAGTTCAAGGCCGAGTTAGCTTGCGGCGTTGATGAAACCGGAAGTAACTTACCAGTAAAGCCACGGCTGACTTTAAAAACTCTATGTTCTAGAATAGACCTTCTTCCATTTCTTCAAAGTTTCTGTAGATAATAAATAGCAACGCGCACCAGACTAGCCGGTGCGATCATGCGTTTTGTGCAATTCAGCCCA